GTGCACTGACAAAGTCTATGTCACAGACTCAACAAAGTTTTAGCGGGACGGCTGCTTTACGTGGAGAAAAGTGCAGTGGAAAAACCTAAGCTCATCTAAATACAGCAGTTGTGCAGGATGATATACTAGTCTGTCTGCTGCTGAAGTCTCAGAACTTATATTATGATTCATACATTCCAGCCACAATGTGAAGAAACATCTGCCACTTGGTTGCATTTAAGTCTGGTTTTTCACAAGGAATCAGTGTAAACATTATGCCACATCCTCCGAAAGCCTTTATGGTCAAACGTCTCGGGGTTCTGCTTCAGGTTTTTGACTCTGGTTTGGATTCAGATGTGTCTGAGTTAGCCAGAATCTGCTTCATTCTAACTAGCTTCATTGTCAGTGATGATAGAATACAGCAGTGAGCACCCAGGGACATTTTATATATCATGAAAATATCAAAGTTTTTAACATTTATTTAAGAAAACTGCTTCAGTTCAGGATGCCTCAATAAATCACCTTAAGTGTAAATGATCGGTCTTTATGTTTACTTATGGAGCACCACAGGATCCAGTGCTTGGCTCAGTTCTCTTTTCTATTTCTATATTTTTCCACTTGGTAAAATATTTCATTTACATTTTGAAATGGGTAAATTTCAATTGTTATGCTGATGAAACTCTGCTACATTTGTCCATTAATCCTGATGTTAGTTTTAAAGGACCTGAAAGTGGCAGCATCATGCTGTCGTTTCTTAGGCAGAGACCAAAAAATTTATCAAAGTTGGAAGAAAGATAGACTGAGTTGAACGTTGCTCATTCATGGAAAAAGATTTACTTTGACTTTTCAAAAATGGTTTATATTCCATCAAGGCAACAAAGCAACATTTCCACCTACAGCTGTGATGGAGTGATTTACATCAAAGTATTCTCATATGTTTGACCTAAATCTAGTTTCTAGGAATCTGTGGCAATTTAAGGAAATCTTGCTCCAACGCAAAGCTGGCAGAAAAACATCCTGAAAGACTTATAGCAATAATTGCACAGGAAGGTGGCTCTCCAAAGTGTTGATTCAGGGAGGCTGAATATAATCCATAAAATTGAAAACTGACTTTTCAGATTTTTTTTAAACTAGCAAACTAGGAACTTTCTTTCCTTTAGCATTTTTGCGCTTCTTTACAGAGGTTTATCAAATAAAAGTCCAATAACTTTCGAGGACGATTATTCCTGTAATGTTCCTAGATGTGAATAGGGAGTTTGTTAGCTGAAGATCCAGCCTGCTCACAATGACGCCATCTGAGCTGCTTTGGTTGCGCTCACACACAGTGTGTTGTGATCCCCAGTGTATCGAGAAGGTCTGTGTTTTCATTCTCAGAGGTGCGTAAACAGACCCCATGGAGATGGAATGACTCTTTTATGTGAAATTAAATAAGATGAGCTTGTGGGCCTCTTTCTTTCCTGTTCCGCCTTCAGTTTTATGTTTGTTTCCACTCTTGAACAAAGCCTTCTCTCCACGGTGTATTAATGCCCATCAAAAGGCTTCAATCAAGCCTCTTTGCCACAGGCTAAAGTCAGACCAGAGAGGCTAAAGTTTAATGTTGTCAGAGCAGTGAGGATGTGGGCTCATGTCTTTTCCATGTCCTTCAGTTGTTGTTTTTTAAACCCCCAGCATTCAGAAATATCCACAAAGTTCGGCTGGTGGCATACAAAATCTGCTAATAGGCTACAATAAAAGGCCAAGTTGAGGTCACTGACTGTGACAACAGCTTTATATATTCTACTGAAAGGGCAGAAAATGCATGAAATAAAACATAATTATGCCAGACTTCCTAAAGAATTAGTCACGGCTGAGTCAATCGAGTTTTGGAGAATCCGGTGATGTGAAGCGTTTTAGAAGAAGCTGCCGACTGTCTGCTGACATTTTCTTCCCTGAATGGAAAATATGTGCTTTGTATCAGGCTTAATTAAACGTCCTTAACATTTTGGGCCCCTACCACTGGGGTTGTTTTTTTTTAACTGAAGAGATTGTTTATGATAAAAATGGGCTTGAATAAAACCTGCCATAAAAGTATGAAATAATAAAAAAAAATTTCTTGTTTGTTTTTTTTTTTTTTATGTATGCATATGGAGTATGTTGACGTTTCTTTTGCATGTCTGCCTTTTTATGGTAGTAATTTTTATTTGACCTACTAAATGCCAGTAAAACACAAACAGGTTTTGAAAGGGAGCCGAAAGTTTTATCTCATTTTTAATCCCTTCAGTCACAAAGTTTAGTTGTCATCAGTGATGACCTCCTTCTGAAGGAATCTGGATGAATATCTAACTTTTCCAAAACAGATACACCTTGTGTTTACTGTTGTTAGCTGCAGGGTTTCATTTCTTTGGGCATCTGCATGAACAGATCCTCTTTGTGAATGTGTGTCAGTGTGTGTATGTTCCATTATTCAGTGCAGGTGGGCCTTCTGTCGGCAGGGAAGCTTTTATGCACACCACCAGAAAACTGACACGCCAATAATTTTTAAGTAGTGATGACCACAGTCCTTCCCACTCCCCCACTGACCATCCTTGGCTTTGAAAGAACATGCAATGAATGGTTCCTATAACAGAGCAATTACAGCTAGTAAGAGGCAAAATCTTTCCTTCTTGTGAAATAAAAGAGTTTTCTTGTGACCATTGTGTGAACCAACCTCAAAATGTGCCAAAGGAAATAAAAACCACTTTGTTTTCCACCATTATTTCCAGGGCTGCAGACATCTTGGAGCTACCTTGCTAGTAAACAACAACAAACCTCAGCCTTGCCTCTCTTACTCAGTTTGTCTGTTGACTGTTCAGGATTTTTTTTTTTTTTTTTTTTTTTTTAATCTTGCAGGTCACAAAGAAGTCTTTATGCACAACACGTGACAAAACGTAAATATTCTTTAATTCGGTTGCCATCTAGCAACACCTCACTGCTAAGAATAGCAGAGATGGACAGAAACATGGTACTCCTACAGACTGAAATCTGGTCCAGTGATTATTAAGTCTGGTTCTGTGCCATAAATCACGCTGCTGACATGCATATGGACAGAGCCGAGAGTAATTAGATATTTGTTTTGAATGTAGGATATGGAACCTAACTGCTGCAAAGTCATTTTGCCTCCCCTTCCCAAGAGGCACTCACACACTGCTGTGTTGGAGGTACTTCTGCAGGGATGAAGATGAGAAATATGGACACCTCTCAGTCTCAGGGGCTCAATTTGAAAAGCAATCAGCACTTTTCAACTCCTCTTCCCCTCACTTGCTTTCTCGCCTTTTTGCTCCCTCTCACACATGTGCTTGTATGAGTGCATGTGTGCACCATGTGTGCATGACTATGAGAATACATTTGTGTCTTCAGTGTAGTTTGCCCGCATATAGATTCTCACTTTGAGGATGTTCATTTTTTTTCTTCTTCCTTTTTTTCCCTTTTTGGCTGGATATGATTTCGGAGTGCACTCTTTGAGTTCTGTTTGGAAAAAGGCATTTAAGGAAAAAAAAGTGTCATAAATGTTAAAGTGTATTGTTATGTTTCATTTTAATTGCATCGCAAAAAGTAATAACAACTGATAAGGTTTTTGGAAAACTTTTCAACAAAAGCAGAAGTGCAATTATTATTATTATTATTATTATTATTATTATTATTATTAATGATGGTGTATTTACTCATTTCATTTCGCAATTATTTTATTTTATTGTTTTACTCTTTAGTTTAATGCACTCATTTATTTTTGACACATTGAGCAATATATTACCTTTTCTCAACGGACAGAGCATGACTCTGCATTGGAACATGATGTGTCTGATAGATTACATCAACGACTTCTACATCTGCATATAAAAAAAAAGATATACTAATACAAAAGACTTACAGTAGATGGAGCAGAGAGTCTTGTAATGACCGGAAACATGTGTCAGAAGAGCTCGCCTTGTGTGCAGCTTCTCTTTTATCACTGCTGGTCAAAGTGCTTTTATTACAGGTTCCTTCCAAATCCGCTCAAAAATATCGACCTTTTTAAACATAAAAATAAATAAATCCCGACCTCTGAAAAAGCTAATATTTTTTATTTATTTTTTTTTTTGCAAGACTTATGGAGGCTCAATTGGTGGAGTCCTGGTTAAATTTCACGAAGAGAAAAAGAAGGAACGTGAATTGCTGTTTGCAGTATTTCAAATGTGAATTTTATTGTTGCTCCCAAACTTAGTCATAAGGAACTCCACAAAGCTGACTATATATATATATATATATATATATATATATATATATATATATATATATATATATATATATATATATATATATATATATTATATATATATATATATATAATCTGAAAACCCTTTGGCTGCTGTGCAAGAACACGCCAGGTTACAGATGACAGCACACCTTGGGTCTCAGCAGTGGACTACGTCATATCCTCAATTTAATATTAAAGAACTGACAAGCTGCGTTTGAAAGAATGATCTTTCGCCATGCATTTTTATTCTGACTCGTGGTCTGAGTATTGTTTTTTTAAATATGACAAAACTGTGAATGAATCGATTGGCCAACTTAGTAAACCGATTTCTTTATTTTCTGTCTTTAAAATCGCAGATTATTTGGCGCCCGCATGGTTTTTGTTTGTTTGTTTGTTGTTGTTTTTTCTCTCCCTCAATGAAATAGGCGACTAAAATCCGATCTAAAAAGCATAAAAGGCTTCTTTCAAAATTTTGAAGACAAAGTTTTATTCAGAAGCTCCACTCTGCGGAATATGGATAATTTGCCCTTGATGAACCATCGCGAATCAAGCGTAAAATTGCGCTCTCTCTCCATCCCTCTCCGCCCCGGTGCTGTCTGTCACCCATCTTTTTATTCATCTCCAAATCACATTAATGTCATGTGTTGAGCCCCACGCCCCTGTTTTGCTTTTTTTCTCCCCCCCCTTTTTTTTCTTTTTTAGCAAACAAGCAACCTAAGTCGTTCATGTCATCAGCGTAATCACTTGGGAGAGTTCCTGAGGCCGGGAGATCTGGGTCCCATCCTCCGAGGGGAGACGGAGGTTTGTGTAACTCTACTCAAACCTGAGGGGGAGTTCGGAGTGTTTGGTCAACAGCAGTGGTTCCTGGAAAAGATCTGAATCGCTTCATAACCAAACCCAGCTGCGGTTCTGCTGCGGGCTGCAGCCTCTCCGTGCGTGCGTGCGTGCGGGTGCGTTTTGAGGTAGACGGAGAGGAAGGGGTTTCTGGAGGAGAGATAGAGAGGGAGGGAAAAGAGGAGAGGGAAAAAAAAAAAGAAAAAAAAAGTTTGGTCTCCTTTTTCCCCTTGACTCTTTTTTTAGTCATGAACGCCGAGACCTGTGTCCCATACAGCGACATGACATCCATGAATTCGTATTATAACCCCTCTGCTGCTCAAGGTAGGGATCACCAGGCGGACCACTTTAGGACATTTCCAGCTAGTGACATCAAATACAGCTCCACCGCCTTCCTGTCCAGCAAAGGTCAGGCTTACGGAGAGAAGTCCCGGAGCCCCTTCCAGCAGGAGTGCCAGTCATTGGATGCCGCCGCAGCTGGGCAAGGCTCTTTCAGCAAATACCAGCTCTTCATGCAGAGGTCCTCCTGCAAAACACCGCCCGCCGAAGACAAGCTGCTGCCGGAGAGGGGACACAACGGAGCGCTCGTCCTGTGCTATGGTGAGTGGAATAAAACACGGGTTACTATTTTAAAAAATAAATAAATAAATAAATAAAAGCTCCTTATTAAAAGATATGATAATTAAGGGTGGAACATTTAAAACTCTATATCAGGGGGGAAAAAAACCCAAAAACCGTTTGGATGTTGTCAGCCATCATTCATTGCTCGGCTTTCTCAAAATCCGCCTGACTGGATGGAATAATGTGCCGGAGAAATAAAAAATAAATTAATTTAAAAAAAGCTGCTCCATGTATCCAAAGTTCGTTTTTTTGAAAATAAAATTCGCCTTGCATCCTCTTCGTGTCATCTCGACTACAGCATCTTCCTGAATAGCAGCAGCAGCAGCAGCAGCAGCAGCAGCAGCAGCAGCAGCACACAGGACAGCAGCAACACCAAAACACATGGCCCTGCAGCTGCAGAGCGCGCAGCCTATTATTAAGACGACTGACCTCCATGTCCCTCAAACTATCAAATTGTCTGTTTGGACATCAAAATCAAATTACGGCGCAATTAATGTGCTAATCTGCATTGCAATCCTTAAAATCGGAGCTGAGTCGGACAATTGAATTAACGGGTTTTCAGATGGCGCACACGAGAAGGGTCAGATTGATCATATTTGTGTGTCTTTGCGCGGGTTGATTGGGTCCAGTTAGATTAATTGGCACAAGGAAAATTGCTCCAACTGGGGACTAATTAGGGTGACTTTAAAATGATAAACTTTTCCCCCCTCTGTCTTTCACATAGAACCTGCGTGTTTTGAAGTTGATTCCAGTTTCTCACCGAAAATGCCGCAAATCCTCGATGAACCGCGATTAAACTGCAAAGACGAATTATTGCAAAGACTCAAAAAATCTCCACTGACAAATGAGCCCAAGAATATTTTAAATTGGTTGTAGAAAATTATAATTAAAATAATTAAATAATAATTAAAAAAAACACATACACACACATTGTTAGTTTTTTTTGTTACTTCTCTCCACTTTAAATAATAACACGAACACAAATCAGTAATCAGTAAACAAAACCGCGCGCTCAGGTGTTTTCTATTTCTTTCTTCTTCTTTTTTTTGCACAACAAAGCATTTGTATTCGTTATTATTTTTGTTTTTATCAAACTCCTCTGCGCTTTCAACAAATGTTTTATTATTATTAATATTATTATCATTATTATTTTAAGAATAAACATTTAGGTAATTTGCTTTTTTATGAGAACGAGCTCTATTTAAAAAGCTAAAAAACCAAAACAACGTATTTTAATGTTTAAAACCAAAAGTTCAAACTCAACAGTGGACGTTTCTGGACATGGCAGAGCGCTCCTGCATGCGTCATATTTCGCTGCGGTTCTCCGACCTGCATATTCATCATTCCTGCCATGAATCTGAAGAGCAGTTTTAAGATGTTTTGACAGCTTAGTCCTCTGGTAGCTCTTTATGGCTCCATCTTGTCAGGACCAGTGAGATAATTCTTCTTTTTCCTTTTTGCCTTTCTTTTTTCTTCTTCTTTCTTTTTTCTTTTTCTTTCTTTCTTTTTTTTTTTTTTTTTTTTTTATCTTTAGCTCATGTGGGTCTCTTAAAACCGGCTGTTAAGTTTTTAGCACCCATTAACCCTGATATAGATCCGGCAAAAAAACAGAGATGAAATAAAATTTTATATTACGTTGTAACGAGGCACTTGTTAGGCTGAGTTCAAAAACCGTAAACACTCAGGATGCGAGATAGAAAAAGAAAAAGAAAAATATATTTCTATGTATTTATGGATTGATGATTGATTTAATCGTTTATTCGATTATTTGTGTTTGTTTTGCAACAAATCCAATGAGACGAATAATGTTCGAAATGCGTCAAAACCTCTCGTTTCAGGATCATTACTTTATAGTTCCATCACTGTTTAAATGCAGGCCGATTCCTAAATCGAGGCATCCGGGCCAGGTTGGTTCTTTAAGGTCTAAAAAACCCCAGAGCGGCTCGTCTGGTGTTCTTGTTTTACAGCTCAGCGGCGGATTCACCGTGAAGGAAAAGGCAGGGGAAAAACATTATATATATATATATATATATATATATATATATATATATATATATATATATATATATATATATATATATATATATATATATATATATATATATATATATAATCCTAAAGACAGAGGAACTCCGCCATTAATACGACTCAGATGTCAAACCTTTTTGTTTGCTTTTATTTCCCCTTCGGACCCCTCACACACACACACACACACACACACACACACACACACACACACACACACACACACACACACACACACACACACACACACACACACGCACGCACACACACACACACACACACACACACACACACACACACACACACACACCTTATCTCACACTGACTTGACCCCACACTGACAAACCTCCTCCTCAGAACCTCCTCAAGCTTTGGATCAGACCAGTTCCTACTTTAACCACGTTTAGGATCGCTGACGCAAAGATGAAATTAAATAACGTCTCACGTGGCCTGATAAAAAAAAAAACAACAAAAACATAGAAAATAAGAGTCGGCTTGGAGGCTGCTTTACTCGTGATTTGAATGGCTTAAATGATTTCTGACTGAGTTTAAAAGATGGAAGGGAAATATGCTGAACCTGCTTAAAAAAAAAAAAAAGAAAAAGATAAATGATTCCTCCTGTGTTCCCTACCAAAAAATACTGAAGTATTTCATCTGCTGGTTCACTTCCTTTATCAGAGATGTATTTCACCCAGAAGGGGCTTAAGCTTTCAAAGATGGGTTCTGGTGATGTGATATGCAGTCTGATATCCTCAGGTGGTTTCAACCGAGACGCTTTTAGTCTGACGGAAAGCAGAACGGTTGCTTGACAAATATTTACCTACATTTGGCTCACTAAACGTGGTGTTTACAGCCAGCAGGCTGTCAGTCACGCAGCTGAGTATAGCCAAGGACGGAGAGAGCTCGGTGCGTTGGCACGCTGAATTATGAGAAGGGCAGAAGGAAACACAGAGTGAAAGGCACTGCATTCGACTAACGCAGGTTTTATCACATAAATGGCATCATGACGATATGCCGAACAAGCATCCATAGGATTAGTTTTTGTTTGAGAAGAAATTGATTGATGAGTAAAGAAAACTTAGAAGTACTCACTAAGGATAGTGTTGCAAATGATTATTTTGGAGCGGCATGCCAAGACAAAACGCCAGGCCAGATGGTCAAGAGCATTAAGGTCAAGATAAAGCACCTTTCCTTAAAAAGTGCTTAATAATCAAAACTGACAGTCAAAATGTTTGGTTGTGACTATACTATGATGTAACTACCATCATTAGTTATGAGCTTAAAAGCAGTATAAAATCTATATTGTGTAGACCGCAAGATTATAGACACAGCTCCCAGGATGTGTCTCCTGTCAAGCAAACCTTTCTAAAAACACTTCAGATCAACTTTCAAAGATTACAAGGAAGTCTGGCTGCTTAAGGAAACACTGAGGAACTGTGCACAGCTACATTATAGTTTAGGAAATTAGATGAAATTGTGCAACTAATTTTGCATGAAAGCATATTGTGAAAGTGCAGAACTTTTGAAAAATATGACAGAAATCATCTATCTATCTATCTATCTATCTATCTATCTATCTATCTATCTATCTATCTATATCTATCTATCTATCTATCTATCTATATCTATCTATCTATCTATCTATCTATCTATCTATCTATCTATCTATCTATCTATCTATCTATCTATCTATCTATCTATCTATCTATCTATCTATCTATCTATCTATCTATCTACATTTTTGATTGGATCACTGCAGACTGATCAATACGTCAATAACATTGATGTCCCTAGAGACTTCCTCTTTTGATGTCCCCATGTCTTCTCCCTGTGTCCACGGTGTTGACCTTTAGCTTGGCTTCTCTGCCCCTCATATGTTTGGAGAAGAGGGTGAGTACTCCTCTGAGCTTGCAGCAGAGAAATCATTTGAAACTCAGGATGAAACTCTTTGGTGTCAAATTCAAACTTGCTGCAGCTTTCAGCATTGCTCCAGTTTAACAGTATAACAGGTCCCATTATAATCCATTAATGCTTGTGATCCCTTGTCATATTTAACTGGTGACACAATTTAAACTAATAAAAGCCATCATTTGGCTTTTATTTTTTTTTGGGGGGGGGGGGGGGGATATAACCCTGCAGGCTCTTCAGAGCATTTAAAGAACATTTTGGATATCATTTCAGCATCCTGAGATTTTGTCACTCTTCAGAGTTTTCAGTTCCCCTTTGTGCCAGTTTTTGACCCCAACACAACCACTTCAGCCTCTGATAACAGTCGTCTGTACAGATTGGTTGGAGCAGGGTGTAATGGGAACCAGCCCAGCGGCTCGGACGGCCGAGGAACGCTTCAGCAAGTCCCTGACGTGAATGGAGGTGACAGGAACTCAGGATCATTTTACCATTTAGCCTAAAGTTTGGCAGGATAATTTACATTAGGCTCAGTTTGCATGGCCGACTGAGAGCAGCCGGACAGAAAAATGCTCGTGAAGTCCACGAGTTCTTTTGGTCTCGTTGACTCTGTGTCACGTAAACTGAAGTCTCCTACAGAAGCAGGACTGGATAAGGCAGACGGAGCGAATTAAATGTTTTAATGCTCAGAGTGAAGCGAGGTCAAAATCATGGGTTTGTGAAGGTAGCTGTTATGCATGGCATTGTGGTTTCACCAAATCCTAATCATCTAAAACTTTATAACAGGTTTGAATGTTTGGCGTTGTTCAACTGCAGCAGTTAGCAGAAAACATGAAACTACTTTACAAAATATAATGGTCGTATTTGTCTTTCTCCTATTTTTTATGTGTTAAGGAAATGCGTGAGAAAGTAGAAACCTTATATTTAACACTCTCCTAACAGCTTGGTGTTAGTGAGCGGGTTTCGCCAAGGTCACATATGAGGAGAAATATTAGCTCCTGTTTGTTTTTGTGGATTTTTACATAGATTAAACTGCAGTTTCAGACTGT